GTTGATAATATTTTATTAGATTATATAATTTTATTATGGAAATATAAAATTTTTACATATCAAAATTTTTAAATTTCAATAAGATATAATTCAATATGAAATGTAATTTAAAATTTGTATAAAGAGAAATAATAAAAAATAAAGAATATTTATATTTCTAGGAGAAATATATAAATAAAGATTAATTAGAAACGTTCCATTATTTCGTAAAAAATTATAAAGGAATATTTAAGGTTGCATAAATTTTATTTGTTTTCATATAATTCTGTTGGGAAAAAATTTTAAAATAATAATATAAATAATAATAATTATAATAATAAGCAATATCTAAAACGATGTATTATTTTTTAATAAGATACGAAATTCGTTTTAAAAGTGAACGACTAACAATATGACAACGAAATGAAACATAAGGAGAAATGGTTTAGCTTTGATCAGACGTATGTTTATTACAATGAAAGTTTTCTTCCTCTGTAATTTTCCTGGGCAAATTCTTTTGAAAATCGTTTCAAGCATAATTTAACACCAGGAATGCTTAATGAAAACTTGTGAATAACAATACATCGTTAAAATTTTGTACAATAATAATAATAATAATAATAAAATCAAATAAATAGATATAATATTAATATAGAAATGTATTGTTTTTTGAAATCACAATATTTTTACGATACTCTTTCTTGTACGAAAATATACTTTAATTTTACCTTATAGAAAATTCCTGATCTCATAGAATTAAATAGATTCTCTTGGAATTAAGATTATGCACACTTTGGAGTATGGAAATTATATGAAACTTGTTCCTCCAAGACAAAGCACTTTCAATCCAGATAATCCTTCTTGAAAATTCTATAATATCACATTGTTTTATCAATGCACAAAGTTACTTGGTTACAATGTATCGTTCTCAGCTTATATTAGTTGATGTTATTATTTAATTTAAAACTGATGAGTACATAGTATATGATGGAAAATTAAAAAAAATTTAATTTGTAATTAAAGTATGACATTATAATATTTTTACTCTTCGCGTATAACATTCTTTGTTACAATGATCCAATTTTTATCCATGTTTTATTACCATACCTTTTTATAATTTTCTATCTTCAAGAAATAGATAGAATTCTAGTACCAATCACTAAGAGTTCTGTGAAAATGTGTATATTGTCTGAAAACAAAATTTTTTTGGCAATTTGCCAATTATTTTAATATAATTTTCCAATAACTTCGCCAATATCGAGATTTTTTTATCCTTTACGAAGTTTTATATTTGAACATTTTATACACTACCACTATTTAAAAAAGATAGAAAAAAAAAAAAAAAAGAAGAAAAATCGAATTCTTTCACCGAGGTAAAAAATCCGCCTCGATATTTAGTTCGCGTTCAAAAATCGTTTTCACTTGTACAATCCTGATTCAAAATTTCGTATTTCGTGGAAATTAGAAATTAGACATCGGAGAAATCATTCAGACGAAACAAGAGAAAGAGAGATGGAATAAAAGAAAATAATAAACTTTCAAAGAAAATCGTAGAAAATGGTGGAAAATTGCAGAAAATCGTGTTCGATGAATCGTCTGAACGGTGAAATGGCACCACTTACAAGGGGCTTGGTTTGAATAATGGAAAATGGGATTAAATCGTTAAAGCTTTGGCACTGTGATCGGTGAAAGCTGATGCAGAATATTCCTTTATTTCTCTATTCTTTTGCATAGGAATGAAAATTCTTTTTCCTTTTTTTTCAATTATTCTGAAAAGAAGATTCATATTTGGTGAAAAAAATTTTTGATTGTTTCTTTTAATTTGGCAAATGTGAAAAATGAAATATTAGAAATAATGTTTTTTCTTCATATTCAAAGAGAAAATTTTGTTTGGATGATGGAATTTATGAATGTGATTTATAAAATTTAGTTTTTGAAAGAAAATTCAAGTTCAAAAATCTATCGTTTCAAATTGAGAAAAGTTTGAATAACAGCAATGGATTTAATTTAATTTATATATATTTGCGAATGATGAGGTGAAAAAAAAAATCTTTTTGATCATCGTAGAAACGGACAATTCAATATTTCTACGAATAAATAATGTACTTGACAGTGAAGAAGATCATTTCGTATATTTATACAAATGATGTTACATATCCTTGAGTCTTTTTAAACATGTGGCTCCTAGAATCATCTGTTTAGCCAACTCTATATAAACTGTCTCGTATAGAACATTCACACATTTCTTAATGTTTGGGTTATTGAACAGAAAGCTACTATATTCGCGAAATAACTCGCATCAAAGAGTTACTTTTAACGATCTATTTATAAATTTCATCAATCTTCAAATACACATATTTCAATTAGAATTCATATTGAATAAGTTAGAGAGTTGTTTCGAGATTAAGGAAATTGATTCCTTCCGTATTTTTTATTCGTTTCGAATATTATCTATTTATTGCTATTACCAACATCGATAAAATATTCTTTCGTTACATCTTTTATTATATCGTATAATTCTACATTCGATTCGTAAATTAACGAATAATATTTTTAAAATTATTCCATCATCATATTTTTCTCTCTCCAAATTATAAACCACAAGTGTTCACACGCCTCCTCCTTCAATTCATAAATATTCGCCTAACATTACCATTTTCACATTATCATACAATTTATTCGTTATTCCAAATGACGATAACTTTGACCAGATAAAATACAGTAAGTAAGGATCGTCGTGCGGGATTCGTACGAAAAATCGAACAGCTCTGGTGAATATTTCAACGAGTTTGAAAAGCGAATTCTCTCTCGAAACGCGGTTGGACGCGTTTGACGGATCGATAAGACAAGCGAAAGGAGGGAACTCGACTCGATCAAAGTTCCGTCTCGCTATCAACATTGTCACGTTCGACGGCGGTGACGATGATCGGGATCGCGCGGTCGGAAAATGGAAACGGGGAATCAATCGCGCACACAGGGGACGATCACTTGTTTCGAATCCTATTCGAATTTATATTCAGAATCGAACGTGTAAAGTTTGAAAGAGACGAATGATGCGCTGTGATCATATTATATCGAGGATGAATTTAATATTATATTTTTCTTTGCCTTGTGCGATGTAACATCCACGATTGTGTCAATTGTCATTCGATAAATGTAACATGTAATAATTCGTTTAATAACGATAATGAATATTTGTGGATACTTCGTTCTGGCATAAGTCCAAACTTCCTTCTGACTGTTCTATCTGGCTATTTGATTGTTTTTAATTGATAGAAGATGTGAAAGAAAGGTTGTTTAAAATTTAGAGAAAAGTTTCGCGTGATAGAAAAATGAGAATATTAAAAATTTTATTATCTATTAGCATTTTTGTAAGATAAAGAGGTGAGAGATAATTGATACGTGATATGATTAAAATTTAAATAAAGTGCAGATTACAATGAGCGTTCGTTCATTTTTCACTTTCATGTACGTTTATTTTCATTTATTTTGCGATTCAAAGAGAAGATAAATTATCGTATGATAATGCAATTCTAGAATATTAATGGGGACTTGAAACGTATTGTAAGTATTGTGTTTGATTACACATAACGACGAGAAGTGTGTGTTATTAATTTTAAAAGTGAAAATTTTTACTTTTGAAATATATTTGAATTTCTATTTTTAATTTATTCTCTTCAGAAAAAAAAAAAGGAAGGTTTTACATTTAAGAAAATTATGCTTTAATAAATGCACGATGTAGTGAAAATTAAAAAATAAATAAATAAATAAATAAATAAAAGGAATTCTTTGTACACAAATTCGCGAGTATCGTTTTAAAGGAAGAATAGATATGCAGAGCATTTCACTATTTCAATTTAAATGATAATTCAAACACACAAAAGACGTTAAAATGGTTCTGACAAGTGGTAAATTCGTAAGTCGATAGCATATGAGAAAACAGAAACATACGAGATATAATAGAATTTTCAATTCCAGCTAGAATACGTGAAAGAGGAGAAAAAACTTAAAAGTTAACTTTCAAATAGAAATTGATAAAAGCAGTTATAAAAAAATTGTTAATATTAAAATATAAATTCGTTCTCTCTCTCTCTCTCTCTCTCTCTCTTCCATGAACGTTCAATTCTTACAAATATAGATTATGATAAAGTTTAATCGTTTATTTATAAATAAATTTGAGAGGCTATTGAAATTTTATTTGACAATTATTTAATATTTATTACATTTAGAGTGACACAATTCGATATATATGTAAGTTTATTTTTAATATAATATTATATTTGATATAATAACGATATAATATTATTAATTACATTAATTTCATATAAAATATTAATTAGGTACATGATTGAGCATTGATAATTTAAGAATAAAATATATACTAATGATAATTATATATTGAACGTGAAACGAGAAGTGACATATTTGTCAAATATCGATTAAAACCAAATGAAATTTCAAACGAGTAAATGTCATCGATAAAGGATAACAATTGTGTTACATATTTACAATACGTGATATACATTTCAAACAGTAATATAAATTACAAAATTAGAATCTCTCCTTCCTTCTCCCTTATAATAAATCATTAAAGACCATCGTTAAATCATCACACCAAATCTCATTGCGCTAAGAGCCCAATCTGTATTAGAGCCTATCATCGACTAAATATTTCTCTAAAAAAAGAAAAAAAAAAAAAAGAATATCATCAAATTGCAACGAAAAGTTCACACCTTCACCCTTAATTTAAACATCTCTCGTCGTCGAACGAAACAACTCGAATCATCGAGTTTCAACAAATCGCAAATCGAAATTCCAAGAAAAGCCTGTTATCCGATTAACGAAAAACAAAAAATCTCTCCAGAAGGATCGCCCAATGCACGATCCAATGCACTGACCAAAACATCCAAAACCGACGATCCAAGACGTCGACGCGGCCACATTCACGCAGATGCCCCCGATTTCACCAGAGAGGACTGAATAAGGACGAGCTATACCCGGATCAGCTGTCTCGTTGAGCGATGATCGACTCGTCGACGGCGACGATCGATCGCGCGGATCCTCACGAGGCCGTGATCGACAGCTGTTACCAGGATCTTTTGCTGTTGGCGAACGACAGCAGCGCGCTCTGCAACGGATTGGACGTACTGAACGACACCGATCTAGAGGTCGACTCGGTGAACGGGACACGGTTGGACGTTGACGGATTGAACAATTGGTGGGCGATGCTCGCCCTGGTCCTCGTGTTGGGCACAGCAGCCGGGAATATTTTGGTGTGCTTGGCCATTGCCAGGGAGAGGAGATTGCAGAACGTCACCAATTACTTCCTCATGAGCTTGGCAATCACGGATTTGCTGGTCGCAGTGCTTGTAATGCCTCTTGGAATACTCACTTTGGTCAGAGGTAAGTGTTTGGGTGCGAGAGAGTTGGAAGAATAGCAGTTAATGTTATTAGGAGTTATTAGGAGATTTTTATATTACGGAATATGGTTATAAAAATCACGATTCAATTAGAAAGGAATTTTTTAAATCTAGATGTGTCATTAGTAAGATCGTTGTAAACGATATTCTTTTAGAAATTAACTCTATCGAAGTTAGGAAAAATTTGAATCGGTTTTCGATCAACGAATGAATGATCGTTGGAATCTTCCTCTTTAAAACGCATTTTTATTTATCTCGATACGATTTCTGGCTTCCAAGATATCGTCGTGCGAAGAAAAGAGTAATTTTTAATCGCTTATTATCTTTGTCCTTATCGGATTTTCGCTCGCGCCTTGTTTCATTGACCTATTCCAAACTCCAGATGAATGGCAGACACGATTCTTGGAAGAGTATAGTACGTATTTCCAAGAAAAAATACATAATAATGGATTCATAATTTCTGCACTGTCTTAAGTATTATGGAATCTTTCAGTGTTTATATCTCGAAAACCGATTAAGATGTTGCGATAAAACAAAAAGGGTCTTCAATAGCATGATTTCCTCTGTTTTCTGAATGGGTTTTAATGAAAAAATTTTTCATTTCTTCTCTCGTTTTTTACATGGAGTTTCTTTTCTAACTTTGGACTTGAATGCAATGATTCGCTGCGATGTAGAGTGTATAAGAATATAATTTTATCTTTTATGTATTAATAGAATATTCGAACACGTTTAATTACGTGAAAATTCGCAGCTTCAAAAATCTAGTTTCAAGAAAAAATAGTATAATCAGGAGACTTCCTTTTGTGCTTGATAAATCGTTTATTTATAAGAATAAATTTATACAATTTACGATTTTTCGTATGCACGACACATCTTTATAGTGAGAAATGTCAGGAAGGAGTTGTTCGTGTTTACTCGATATCTCCGGATATTCGATCTTCTTCCGGAATTCTGTCGCGAAGCAAGCAAAACTTGGAATTCCTGTAGCTGCCAAATAGAGTTTTGACATTCTATACTGTGGCTATCGTATCTGTGATATCCTTAGTAATAATAGCTATCTTATGTAAAATTAATTTTTATTCTATCCAATGTTTATTATTATATTTTATTCCATTAAAATACCGATCGAATGTTAATTTACACATCATCTCCATTTTTAAGATGAACAAACAAAATACATCTTAAATGAATTGTGAAATTTTTGAATGAATATATCCAAGAATGAAATAATAACCAATATAAACTTAAAAAATAAGGAAGAAGCAATTTTTAAAATATTTTTTTTAGATAAAAAAAATTAATATCAAATCGTGTATCTTTCGAAATTTGTTATATCATCGATAAATTTATCTGCTATTTGCAGATATTGATTTAAATAAAGTTAATACGGATATTTTTAAAATAGATATCTTGCATCAAACTAAAGTGCATCGACATCTTTTTAATAATTAATAAATTTTTAATTAGCTACGTAGATCTCATCTAGATAAGAATTGGAATGTAATACAATAATACGCGAATAATTTTTGAAATTCTTGTGTAAAATTATTGTCCTCGTATGTTCTTTAAATATTCTATTCAGGTTTCTACCGCATTGCAGCCATTTTCATCGATACTTGAAAACGTCTATATCGAAATCTCAAGAATACACGTGTATCATCGATGAATAGCAAAGTATTAACATACATATACGTTATCTTCTCTAAGAAGATAGATAAGCTTGAGGTATATCGAATGTATCCATGATTGTTTCAATATGTCTACAAGATTAAACAATAAATATCATTGATCAGATGAAACAATTAATTTTTAAATTACACCATATTAATTTAAAACGAAATTTATTCTATCTATTATTCTTAAAAAAAAAAAAGGGGAATCTAATTGCTGATAGATAATCCGAAAAAAAAGTTTCTCAAAAAGAATAAACATTCTGCATAATTATCGGCAAAGTTATCTTTCATCAAACGATTCCAATACTTCTTCTTCCAATAATGGCGAAATTTTCAGCACGATAGTCGTATTTGAATCCAAGTTTCCTTCCGTAACCGAGATTACACGGAGATTAGGGGCTCGACGAAGATTCAGCAACGCACACGAGTCTATCTATATGCTCGAGTTCCGGTGGCCACGTCACCCATTTCCGCTCTCCCATTTCTCAAACGAGAATCGATGGTGTTCCTTTTGTTTAAATATTGCCTACCATCGCGATCGAATTGTTTCGTTTCTCGTTTTTACCAATCCGTCGGATGGATTCCATTGAAGGGAGAGAGAGAGGGAGGGAGAGAGAGAAAGAGAGAGTTCATTTTTACAGAGATCGACTTGGAGAATCCACTTCTTTCGTTTGTGTGTGATTTTTCTTTTTTTCCTCTCTCTCCTTTTTTCCCCTCTCCAGGTAAATTAAAAGTGGAGGAACGATTGAATTGAAAAAAAATGTCAGAGTGGCGAAAATAATTTTTAATTAACGAAGGACATTTGCTCAGCCAAATGTTGGTTGTAACGATGCTTGAACGAGTTTTACACATTATCTTGCGAATTGACTTGCAATCGTTTCATTCTTCCTCGAAGAAAAAAAATTGATGATACGATTTATAGGATTATTTCTATTTCTATTTCTTCTTTTTACCAACGTTCGATTCGTTTTCTTTTTTATTTTTTTTTTTTTTTATTAGATAAAAATTTAAGCAAAAGCTCATTTATAATTTTTATACGCCTATCTCGAAATATCCGTTACAAAGGAAATTCTGTTACAAGGAAGATGTGGTTTACTTATAAATGAGATCTAAACGCCAGTGGCACAAGTCCAAGACCATCTATTTCGAGGTTTTTGGGATCTTCACAACTTTGCTCCCTTTGGATTACTTTTCCTCGTTTATAGCGAAGTTACACGAACGTGGATTTTTCAATAGAATGAAACGTAAACCGTTCAAGTTTTCAGTTTACCTTTCGAGACTTATATTTAGGCTCTTATGTTAGATATCTCGCATAAAGATGCGAGAAACGATCCTCCAATAACGCGGATACACCGTAATCCTTTTAGAACTTGGTACAAAGCTTGGAACACGTATTAACGTTGAAAGGGAATAAATAAAAATGTTTGCCTCATTTTATTCTTTGAATTGGCTCCTTTCGATATTCCTCTTTCAAAGTGTATGAATATAAAAGTTTTAATATCGACGGTCCATTGATGCCTGGTCAATCGTGATTTACAAAATTCTGTATGCAAATCAATCGTAAATGTGTATGTATATTTTTTCATCCGTGCATGATTTATTTAAAGGTAATAAAACCTTCTACAATTTGCCCTGACAAATTTCGAGTTTAACGTGGATTAAAAGTGATCTGGCAACTATGATTAAACTATGATAAATTTATTGACGCGAAAAAAAATTAAATTATCCTCGAATAGTTTATCCTTTGCAGCGAATTTGCTCGTTTTTCCTTTGAAAAATAGACGATCCCCCTCCAGCCTTTTAAACGGTATTTTCCGCAACGTCGCCAGAAATCGTGATGGTAATTGCTCTTTTCTCGCAATCCTTCCTGTCGACTAATCCATTATGCATAAGAAAGCTTGCTCGACGACAGGCGATCTTTTGCTCTTCCACCTGTCACGCGAGAAAAGCGATCATTTGTGGACTAATTATCTGCAAACAATTCGAAAATTGACGTTTCTAATCGATATTTGATGATTCTCCGTTCGATTTAAATCCCAATTTCTCGAACTTCCTGGCAAAATGATTCGCATATTCGCGAAACAATTTCGAAGGCAACGTTGAACGAAAAATTACAATTGGAAAGAATGATAAATATTTCTGATAGTTCGATTTTATATAACTTGTGAAGAAATATGTCTGATTCATCTTTTATATTTTTTTTAGAATTTGTCAAAATTCCAAAATTTTCTCATTCTCGCTCATTTTCTCAACTCATCCAAGGACAAGTTTAAACAATTCGAAGTAATCACGATATCTTCCAAATTTGCATCGTGTATTCACCAACAACTTTTTCAATTCTTTACGAGCAATTTCCAAAGCAATTTTCGATTACAATGTTCCTCTTCAAAATTGCAAATTGCGACCACGAATCGGTTGGAATGAATGCCATTAATTGGCAACAAGAGAGGTCGATTAAAGAGGAATAAGAAAACGATGTTGAAGAGATTTCGACATAGAAAACGACAAGGAGACGAATGGCGTATCCGTTTCTCGAAATTCCTATACATTATATAGGTAGAGTAAATGTCGATGGAAATGTAAGTGGCCAATTTGTGCCATCCTATTTTTCACCCATTTCCCAACTTGTTCCAATCTGAATTTTTCAACAATGCGGCACAATTGATCGCAAAAGTACATGTATGATATTTGGTGGTGTTTCGTGTAAAATTTTACATTGTCGAAGATCGTAATTCTCTTCCGCTCAAAATTCTACGAGACGAAAATAAAATTTTATTATTGAAGTCGAATTATTTTTATCGACTGCACTTTCGATTTGGTTGCAAAAATATTTGAATATTTATCTAAGTTCGTTTTTTTTTTTTTTTTAAATTATTGAAGATAATGACACGATTTTTTCGTTACTTCAATTGTTTTAGATTTTACTTATAATTTTTTTTCTAATTTTATTGAATTTCCAACGTGTTTTAAAGTATCGAGGGGGAGGGGGGGGGGAGGAGGAAGTAACGTCTCGAAGCATTGTTTCGCTTTTCGAACAAATTTTTCATATTCCGCGAACGCCTGTTCTATCGTTTTCGAGAAACTAAAGATGAAGGCTGAGCTCGTAAAAGTGTGGTGAAAAGGGGGCTGACAAGGAGAAGAGCGGACGTGTGTGCATGAGGTGGAAAAGGAAAAAAGTAGAAAAAGCGTAAAAGTAACAACGATAAGGAATGAATGGGAGGGAAAAAAAAAAAGAAGAAACGTGTAACGAAAGGGACAGGCTGAAATGAGGAAAAATTGTTGTCTGCAACTTATGGCAACGTTACGGATC